TAAAATTACCTCTCGATATTTAAAATTTTATATATTATCGGCATCATCATATTAGACTACACTTTAAACGAATTGGCATATCTTGAAGACCCCAAACATTCCGTTATTTAAGAAAAAATATTTTCGCCAATAGAATTGTCACTTTAACCATTTTTTTTTGGCGATTTGAATTCTTGTAAATATTGAAACTTAAAACTCTTTAAAATTTATCGGATAACAGCAAAGCAGTCTACAAATATATATGAAAAGCTAATCTCAACATTTAACAGAATTTTAAGTGTCACTTGTATAAATTAAGAACCATTTGCGACATAGACAACAGTAAGCAATTCATTAAAAATAAAATCATGTCGCAAAAAAAACACTATTATTTGAACAGTCGACTATACCATATATAATAGCTTTCATCAAAATCATTTTGTAATGGAATAATAGTGAAATATGAAGCAATATAAACATTGCAAATAATGTTTGCGTGTACATACATACATACAAATATATGTATTAGCGATAATAATTACGTATACGTATAGGATGACCAAGCAGGTGGTTCCTGCATATGGTCAAGTAATACAATACCCACACATATACATATGTGTAAATAAACAAATTGAGTGTAAAAAATTGCGAAATTTAATTATATTTTATATAAATAATTATTGCTATACATATTTATGTATGTATGACATACGAGTAGTTACTTGATGTAAGTATGTAATGGCTTTGTGTGCCTTAGCCACGCCGGCCAGCAGCGGTCGTTGTACACAGTAATTTAACGTTTTTTTGCTACTTTTGTGGCTCTACTATAGTGAAGTAATTATGCAAAATTGAGTGGCAGGCGAAATATTTTTCTGCGCAATCAATTTTAAAAACGCACACATACTTACTTATAACTATACATTTACAATATATATATGTACATGCAAACTAATAACTATTTTATGCCTCGAGCGATATTATTTCACAGGTTTTGCTTCTTTTTTCTATTCAAATATCTCTTTGCTATGGTTTTGTTTGTTTGTAGATTTTATGGTTCATAGCCTAGGGCATATTTACGTGCTAAAAAGTGTTTTTATTTGATTGCTGTCAACTTTTATATGCCTTTTCTGTTTCATTATTCCACATCTTTTTGCATGACATCTAATGTTTTTGATTGTGTGTTCGGAAGGTATTCTAATGGCACTCCGCATGTATGTCTGTATTTTCGAGTGGTTAAAAAAATAAATATAGTTTTATCAACACAGCACTTTTTGTTATACATATCTGTTTGTATGTCACATAAGCATGATACTTTATCGTTTAATACTTGTACTACACATATGTATGAATACATGTCTTTGAGCAAAAAATCTGATATCCGGGTTATAATTGTTGTACTGTACTCATATTACATACTGATTTTGTTTCAGTGAAGCAAAGCATGAATTTTAAAAACATTTAATTAGCTTGGCAATTTTAAACATTTTGTGCGAAGTATTATTGAAGTTTTTACAGATTGAATGATAAAAGCAAATGCAATACGAGTATAAGATACAGACGCATTGTGGATTCGAAAAAGATCATATTTTTTACTGAGACTTCGTTGAATCTGAACATTATGCATATTCAGAAATTGTACCGTTGCGTTGGATAATAATTTATTTAGTTATTGAAACAGATCGACTTTTGTGAAGGGTCTTCAATGTCGACATAATTATACAATATATCAATAAATTATACTCATAGACAAAGCTTATATTCGAAAAATATATTGCTTAAGCTATAAATAATGCTAAAAAACTAAAACGTATAACAGAGATACGATAAATAAATTTCTAACAGTTTTCTTGGAAAAAATTTATACTTTGAAAAAAAAATCAAAAAAATCTGCGGCCAAACTTAAAAGAAATATTTTCACAATATTGATTTCATATGTCATACACTTAGCAGAACTATTTTTAAAACATACTTATAACCCATTTGGCGTAAATGTTTTAAGTAAGTTGATTTCATAACTTCAGCAACTTAGTAGAACTACTTAAATATATTTAGAGAACTACAACCATGCTTTCCAAGGAATAATAGCGCCTAAAGTATGCAAATATTACAAACACTTTAAACTACCCATGTTAAATAATACTTTATAACCGATATAACTTAACGGTGCTTTCGCTTAGAACATCATTCAGCAAAGTTAGATTGTCATAAAGTACTATTTGTTATTACATTGCATAAGATTTTTAGGAATATTTCACCACTTCATATGGTGGTTTTTTCACTACATTATCTCATTTACGCACCAATACTTTACCAACAGACTGTGACTTTAAGTTTTCTAAAAACACAATCAAATGAAATTACATTGTCTTAAGAAGATTTGTGATTCCATAACATTACATATATTTCTTAAAATTTCACCACTTTGCGTAGAGGTTTTTCACTACAGTCACTGACTTACGCATCAATAATTTACCAACAGACTGTGGCTTTAGATTTTCTAAGAATGAAAAATAACTTACATAAAGCAATTACTACCTTAGAATACTATAATTATTGTGTATCTTAATTGTCATTACTTTATCGTGTAAAAAACCGCCGGCTGGGAAAAATAATTAGTTTTTGTAAAACATAGTACTCAGAAGTCTTAGGCTAGCATATGATGCTTAATAACATTTATTTATGAATAAGAAAATATAATCTACGATTAAAAGAGTGTCTAAACAATCCAAAGGGTTTGTCCCATTGTCTCAGATGACTAGTCAGATTTTCGCGAACAACTAATCTTTTATGTAATTTTATGTCAATGAAATTTGTTAAGAATTATTGAAACTAAAAAAAGTTGATTTTTTGTACATATTTTTTATGTGTTTTGGACACGCAACTGCTATCTTCGCCTTATCAATACTGAAATGTCGCGTGTACTAGCGCTAGGCTTGCGCCTCGCACCATTTTACAGACACGTAAAATTAATGCATGAGCATACACGTGCGTTTATTTTTTCGTATACCACATACATATATACTACATGCGTTGGTATATATGTATGTATACATCTTCGTAGTGCCTCTTGACGTTGTGCTTTAGACAATGAAAGCGAAATCTTATGCAAATATTTGCTTGAAAATATCTGTTTTGTGCTAAATTTAATATCTACAACTAAGCAAGCGTTCAAGTACGCTTGAGTCAAAAAACGCAAAATTGAAGATAAATAACTAGAAAAGGCATGCTCAGTAAAATATGTATATGTATATAAATACAAGTACGCTGACGCCTATATACAAATCGCTAGATGAATTTTTACTAAACATACGTATATGAGGAGCACAATATGTGGAAAGGGAATGGCAGTCAGCTGGAGAAAAATATCAGCATGCTAAGGTTGCAAAGAGAGACCAAGCAGCCAAGATAACGAAACAAGTAACTGGTAATTACGGTGCAAAAACAAGCAAGAGCCAAAAGCAAAGTGTGTGCAAAATGATTAAACACATTTCGCCCAGATAGACCCATGAAGTGCAACAATTTTTTTTTTTGTTAAATAACACCAAATGCTAAATTTCATATATTGTATGTACATATGTGCGAATGTTACCTAGTTATTTACTGCAGCGCGCTGCAAGGTAATTATTTTTCGTAATAGTGCTATAAAAGTATATTTCAGACTGTTATTTCATTAGTGTTTATGGCTTAATAATTTGAAACTAAATATGAATGGAAATTTACTAGTTAAATGTTTGGAGTTTATTTAGAAGTCTGTATATAATGTATGAATTCAAGCTATATTTTTGTAGGTTAGTGCTTTTTCTGAAAGGCCTTGGTAATTAAAATTGTACAGGTATTGGTTTTAAACATTTTAGGTTTTAATAATTTTAAATTCTCAAATTATTTTAAAATTTCAAATTTTGAAATTCAAATGCATTTCTGTACAAATTAATAACACTATTACTAAATTAAAATAATTAAAAAAGTATTATGAACTTTTACACGTATTTTCAATAAAATTGTACAATAAATATAACATAATTAAATACTTTATATACTTTTTGCAACCCGAAAATAATTTCATTTTAGTACTATATATATAAATATGTACAGCAGGATTAAAAAAAAAAATCGTTAAAGTAAATACGAAATTTCATCCTCATAACAAAAGTTAAGGTGTTACTAATTTTAAACTAAAAACGAAAAGCGAGCATTATCACGTGATGATTTTAAAAGTATGAAAATACTAAAATTTTTTTTAGTTTTACTTTTCAAGTGATCGTCAAATAAAAGTTGTTGAGTATGGAAAAAAAGTTAGTTTCCATAAATTTCTAATTTTTTGAAAATATCCGCAATTGAAACAAGAGATAAATAATTCGTGCAAAACAATCATGTTTCTCTCACTTTAACTTTTATTATTGTAAAAAGAATGTATTAACATATTAGGAAAGAGCTCTCTCGCATTAACTTGAAAATTATGTACGGAAATAGTGTTTCAATTTCAAAAGAATCGGTGATTTTCCTCCTTGGATATTCTTGAAATATTATGGATTCAACTAAAAAAAAATTTTTTTTTAATTTTTATCTTCTGAAGACATCTGAGGAACTAAATTAGTCCTAAACAGAAGCAGTCATTGAGTTTATGAAAAATTTAAAAAAAAATTTGATTTGTTGTTTAGTAAAGTGGGATAGTTTTCATAGCAATAAAACAAATTATGTAATTATGTTAATTAAATTAATTACCCTTGGAGCAAAAATTATATATATTAAACATTAAAATATATTAATTTCTAACGTTATTACGTTAGCCATAAATACAGCATTGTATCTCACACATATGAAAAATGTTTATTGGTACGCGCTCTTAGAAGCAAATAAGCAAATTTCTTCCACTCCAATATCTATTTTCATCTGCTAAAAAATTTCTTGCAATATTTAATCACTTGCGCTCTTTACTGTCTGTTTTCTGCGACACAAATTGTTATCTCAATGCGGCATTACGTAAGCATTATAAGGAAACATAATTTTTAAGTCAAACTTACCGTTAAAGGCACATGAAATGCACAACAGCTCTGTTGTTCGGCTGCTGTAAAAGCGTGCAAAGTCGCCAACGACGCGTTAATTAAGCGTTGTACGCTGGGTTTTCCTTTTATTCCGATATTTTGCGTTTTGTTTTAATTACGCTTCGTATATGTTGTTATAATCGCCGAGTAACGATAAGTATTTTTTTATTTAAGTTCTGAAAAGTGTGGTTTTGAAATTAATAATTAATAAATAATAATTCTTATTTAACGCGTTTTAAATTTGTTTTAAGCTGCGAGGCTTACAGTTCACTCAACAAAAATAAAAGTTCTAATTTTTATATAAAATTTGTGAAACTAAGCCGTATTGCACACGACTCGCGTTGTCTATTTTTTATAGTTATTTAATTTAAATTTTTTTTACAGTTATTTAATTTTAAAATTTTTTCCGCGTATGTTTCTTATTTTTTTGCACGCGAACTTTTTTGAGTTTACGGTTTTTCAAATAAAAACTTGAAGGGGGCGAATAATTTACATTTCCGTTATACGTTTTACACGCCAAAATCGAAGGAAACAAGTTTGCAGTGGAAAATTGTACGCGTTTTACCTGCTGTGTGCCTTTTTTGCTACAACCGAAATTCGCCGAACGAAATGTCTTATGGGCACCAGGCTTCGTTGTCGTCGTCGTCGCCGTTACTAAGGCTTAAGCCAAATTATTCAAGCAACAAAATTGTTAATGCGTTTATCAACAGCAGCAGCCCCTGATTTTTTTTTAATTATAATTTAATTTTTTCCTCGAAAAAAGGAAGCACAAACTGCTTTTTAATATTCAAAACACTTTCAAAATTTATTCTAATGATTGTAAGTTTTTAAAATATTTAATTTATTTTTAGAATTATATATTATTTTTTGTTTCTCAATATCTCAGTAGTATTGTTGTATAATATATGTACTGCACAACCGTAAAGACGCTTAGGAGCTAAACACGACCAACTCGAAAACACACCAAAACGGTATTGAAACCTCAGATACGTTTTAACTTCGCAGATAGTTTTGCGGTAATAAAGCTAACTGCCGCCACTAAGGTGGCTGCTGCTGCTGCCGCTGTGCGCTCGTGGCTGCGACGCTGGGCGATCGTGTGTGTGCTGCGGAGATCACTCATTGCAGCTGCGTCGGCGGTAGCTGTAGCTATAGCTTTGGCACTGACTATGGCTGCAGCGACGACCGTTGCCGATAATGAGGTTCCGCGCACACGACGAACACCTTAAGCCCGATGAAAAGCGATCTAAGCCGTTAGCATACAACGTCAACGGTAATAATGACGACGACCACGACCACGACAACGAAAAGCTGGTGGTAGTTAGACGGATATTGTGACAGCGTGACAACATCAACAATTTTTGTACCAAGATGTTGGTCGTGTCTACAACGAGAAGTTCACTTCATTGTCACTTATTTAGTTCGTTACTTCATTTGAAATAAAATATACAAAAAAAAAATACGAGGCACTCTACGAAACCACGACACAATCCACTACTCCCGCTCACTTGTTTGCTTAAATTTGACGCGATCTCCCAAACGACACTCAAAAACACAACACAGCACAACAACAACAACAGTGCTAGTATGCACAGCGTTCGCGCTGTCGTCGTTGTTTGCAATTCGGCTTAGTTGGGTTGGATTAGGGTGGTGTTTGGCGCAGGCGACAATTTACACTTAGCCGAATATAATGGGCGTAATGAATCGAAAGCGCCTAACTTAACTCGCGACTTAGTCTTTATTTTATTATTTTATCAATTTATTGTAACGCGTATTGTTGTTGTTGTTGCGAATAATTTTCGCTTTTCTTACTACGTACGGGTTTTTCAGATGCCGTTTATTGCTACTACAAATTGACTGCGACTGAGAACGCTCAGTTATGGAATGATGTTGGCTCAAAACCGGACACAACGTTATATTTAACTACTCTGCTCCGATCGAGCCAACGAATGTTCACACACTCACTTCGGCTATTTACTTCTCGTTCGAGAAAAATACATACAAAAAAAAAAAACAAATACTCATTCGTTCGCTAACACGACTCCCAAACACGACAACTACAGCTACGTCAATAACACCAGCATCGACGATGTGTGTTTGTTAACAATGGCGGTAGCACCGTTCGAGCTGGATCCTGTTCGCCAATACCTACTTATTGGCAACACAATGCTGCCAACGAGATTGCCGCGCTGCACGTGATGAGTTACTGTTCGGCGCCATCGCTGCATGTGGGGGAGCGCTGCCTCAAGGGCGTCCAAGGTGTTAGCGCAGCAATAACAGCGGCAGCAACAGCTGCAGCAGCACCGGCAGAGAAGAGCGTCAGCGATTAAGAGTACGTGCTGAGTTGAAGAGAGCCAACACTCAGCAGTTACTGAGCTTTTAACTCGGGTTTAATTATTGCAGTTGGCTTAAATCTACCTGTTAAGTGTGCGCTAATTTAAATGGTAGTTACTCAGCGTTTAAAGCGCTCTGCTATTGAACGGTGCACGCCTTTTAACCAATCATAGACGCATCTTTGACTGGGCTAATGGTTTGACGGTGCGTGTTTGTTGTATTTGTAGTTGTATAAAATTAATCCTCAATGCGGAACGCTTGAAAAGAAAGTTCAAGAAAAAGATAAATATACCATATATATTGTATATATATGAATTGGTGGATATATTTTTTTAAAATAAATTGTATATGATTGCATATAATTCCAATAAAATTTCTTAGGTTTCTTCATTTTGTGTAATGGAAACTTATGTTATTCCTCAAGCGAAGAGTTCTTATAGCATTAAGCCGTTTCAAAATACCGATCAATTATTTAAAGATTTTGCTATGCCTGTCTATATTTTAGATTTCTAGCACCTATCGTGGTGTTTCATACCTCTGAATGGATTTCGTATTCCTTGCTTACTTATACATTTTAATAAAAAATACATATTAAAAACCGATTTTCTTCTTCATTATAAATCATTATAAATAATTCAGGCATATCATTAGATTTTACAGTTCTTTTTCTGTTTCGTAATTTAGCGCTTGTTAGAAACATTAAGTGGAGCTAAAAGATTATCTCCTTTATATTTAAAATCGAGGAGGCCCTCACTTTTTCACTCACTACTAACAGTTGCTATCGCTTTTAGAGCTGGTAAGTGTCGCTGTGTCTTGATTGCAACAGTTCGCTATTTTCATCACGAAAACGAGGAAGAAGAACTTTATTTTATAATTGGCTTTATAATAAATCTATGTTGGATGGATGATAAAACATCTCTTTTGATAAAAACACAAGAAGAAGTAAGGCCAAGTTTTCTGTAAACTACTCTGCTTAAGGCAATCCTAACCAACGTAATTTTTGTTGCCTTCATTACAATTGTATGTAAACAGTCTACACACAACAGGTCACAACGTTAGTTACAATTTCGCGAATCACTTAAAAGCGTAGCATTACCTAATTGTCAAGAAAACACACCAGAAACCCAAACTCGTTTTGATGAAACTCCCTTGTAACATACATAGTTTGGTCATAAAAACAATCAAAAAAAATATTTACTTAAAGCTTAACATTAATATTTTGAAGCCGTTTTCCAACAAATTTTAGTCTCAAAGTTTTTGGAGAACGCCTTCTTTATAGATTGAAATGATTCACTTATACACAATATACACAATATTTTTAAATATTTTTTAGTTCAATTTTGATTGTATTTTATATTTTGTTCAGCAATTTGAGTCAGCTTAATTTTTATAGTGGACACTGTCATAAAACATTTTTGTGAAAGTCGATACCGTTTACCACTCAAAAGTTTCGGTTTGTAACCTCAAAGTTGAATACGTTATTTTTCAAAAGAAAATGTAACTTGATAACGAGAGAGTTGAACGCAAAAGTAACCTCAAGTATTTGAGACAGTGACTATATAATTCATTTTGAAATTAATAAATGTAAGCAAATCAAGCATAAAGTATCTCAGACAACAGCTGCTATTTGTCCTTATGCAAGCGTTTTCTTTCCAATTTCCAAACACCTGCTATAACATTGCAATACTGTGTTTATAGGTTCCGAGAAATTTTCTCTTTTAAAAATGTAGAAAACCGCATTGGAGATATTATATTATGTGGTAGCCGATTGCCGATGGGAAGAAAAAGCAGAAATTATTAAGTTTAATCGGTCATTCAGATATCTTGCAAAAAGTGGTTGAAAGTGGTCGCTGACTTATAGCATAAAATGAGAGATATAATGGTTTTGGATGTGTAACAAATGGTTGTGGTTTCAGTACGCCTCATTGTTGTTTTTTTTTGTTTGAATTCAGCAAATTTATGACTGGTTCAAACTACTTTGTCGATTTATGATGCGCCTTACGATCAAGAGAATAATATGAGTTTTAAATATCACAATGGACCGCTATTCTAAACTGTCCAAATGAATTTCTTTGTTGGCGTTTATAAAAGGATCGACCTTTTAACGTAACCTAATACAGTCCAGACAGTTCACGCTCTGCGTCGGATTGTAGCTGATTTGCTATTGAAACTATGTATATCCACAACTTTTACTATTATTTTCCTGTTCATTGGATCTATAGAGTTATATTACCATAGGGGTCTGGTCTTGCCCGTGAGTTTTCCAATTAGCCGTAGATGAAGTCTCATTGTTTCGACATCATTTGTGTTCGAAGAACACAAGTTGTACTGAGTGACGACGTAACAGTGAATATATTCCGCTCTTCAATTTCGCAGCTCCTCTATTTTATACGGACATTAGGCTCACATACCACAGTATTTATATATAAGCACTTATGTAGTATACATACATATATAGCTTACATTCTACAATTATATACCTAAATTATTATCGAAAAAGAGCATAGAAGAAGCATACTAGTGTACTAAACGATATTTGCTTACAAATATATATGTATATTTATATATTTTAAAATTATTAACACATAAAAATAAATAAATACACATATAGTAAACATGTACATCTTATGAGCCATCGCCAATTATGAGACGATCGGGTGCCTGACTGCTTGACAATCCACACTTGAGACAATGTGCTGATTAATAATTCATAACAAAAGTCAATCAGCGCTGGAAAGCCATACAAGTGCAACGAGTTGGATGAAAAGAAGGAGTGTGACTACGCAACAACGTGAAACGCCTTTAAGCGCATCTCCATATGCGTAAACGTTTCCTAGCGCACTTACGTAAATGGTTCTCACTCACAGGAAATACTTTGGGCGCATCGAAAATCTCGAAAACTCGAAATATCTCATAATTTTGGTATTGCTAGCAATTGTCTTTCGTTGAGTAATTTCAAATTCTCGGGCGTAATTAACGACTGAGGTGCTTGATTGTGGGAAAAAATTAAATAAATAGAATAAGAAAGATGTAAAAGTAAGGAGAAAGGCAACAACAATTGATAGTTAGTGCTGAGCTTAATTCATTTTTGATTTTTATTAGAGCGCAGTGAGGTATTGGGAATTCAAAACGAAAAAAAAAAATGATTCTTCTACACCTAGTGTATATAAAGTTTGTCACGAATCTTGGGAACCTATAAGAAAACGGCGGAAACCCTTTATATATATATACAAATGATCGGCATGGCGTGCTGAGTCGATTTAACCCTGTCCGTCTGTACACGAAACATTCCCTCATATTTTTGAGATATCGATAAACCAAATTCAGGCTCTTGTATGGGAATTTTTATTTGACCAGATATCTAAACCTAATTTTGTTCGGATTATTGTCCAAGGTAACGTTACAATATCCACTGTAAGATACAGCTGTCATATAAGCTGATCGATCAAGATCATGATCTTTTTATATCCGTTTATGCTATAAGAAATTCTTCTGTGAAATATTGGGTATTATTCCCCAAATTTCCTAGTAAAGATCATTTTCATATGTAATAACATCTGATTGATATCAACTATCACGCGCATGGAAATGAGCAGGAGCAAAGCAATTAGCGTGCGCGCATGCGCAAATCAAATCAATTAAATGCTGGCTGGTAAAAGGCTGATAAAAGAAGCATGCGCATTTAAATGGTGCAAATTTATGCAATGCAATAATTACATAAAAATGTATATCTGCGTAAGGGAAATGCAAAACAAACACATTACAAAAGAGTTGAGTTAATAAATAAACTGAAAAGTACACGCAAATATGCGACTTGCTGAAAGAAAGCTGAAAGTCTTTTGTATGAAAATGCAAATTTTTAAATTTACATACATACGCATATATGCACATATGTATGTTTACGAGTATTATATGAACGTAAATGCGTTGTAGTCGAATTTAAGTAAATTAGCGCACTGTTGATCAACTGACCAATCATGTGTGGATTTAAAATCACACAATTACGCATTTTCTGTAAGTATTAGGTACGTAGACCTGCTCTGATGCCAAAGTCAATACGATTTCGAGCTATTAAATATTTAAAATGCCGAAAGAAGGCGGTCTTAAAAGGCGTTTATAAATATATGTATATACATATACATATGTATAACACACACACATCCACTAAACATCACAAAATATGCGAAACGCTCATCTCCAATGAATTAGCGAATAAATGTCAAATTCTGTCGTGAGTAAGAAAGAGAAATAAGTTTCACTGACCTTTCTAAAGAGTTTGAATGCATGCGATTTGTTGTTATCCGATGAGAAGTAAAAAAGCTTAAGTAATGAATAACATTATATATGTACATATGTATGTATATTCATGTAAAAAACAATGTTTTAATTTTCGCAATGACGAAATAATTGAATTGTTTGCTCTGGCTGTTAACAAATTATTTGGA